TTAAATTTAATATCCTATCATTTGCCTGTATCTCTCCCATCCTCCCATTTATTTCTTTTTCTCCAATCACAACTCAAATTATGCATATCAATTCTCATCTGCTAGTTCTACACTTTGAAAAATCTTTCTGTCTCTTCATTTGGGGATAGATTTCTGTCCAACTCAAAGAGGAAAAGCACAGAATGCTGTTTTAGAGGCTATAAATCATTTTTAAAATGAATAATAATTTAAATTTTGTAAATTCAGGAATAAATGAAATGAAAGAAATGGAAAGTAAATATCTGAGGATGAAAGGTTAGAATTTCATATTGGAAGTAGGGCACCAGTTTTTGGTAAGAGACAGGCTATCATCACACTAATCAATCAATTTATATGTATATAATATATATGTACACATATATATACTGTACACTACTTAAGTATCTAGTATTATATGTGCATTGTGTGCATACATACATACTTATACTTAATGCTGGTGGGAATGACATGGAGATCAACTTGGGCTAGGACATGGTCAGAAAAAAATTGGGCGTTAGCCCAGTTTCTCAGAAGCCAACATTGATTTCTTTGTTAATCATACCTATGTGTCTGCCTACCTCTTCCCCACAGAGCCTGGGCAATGTGCTGGTGGTTGTGCTGGCTGAACAGTTTGGCGAGGAATTCACCCCGCAGGTGCAGGCTGCCTATCAGAAGGTGGTGGCTGATGTGGCTAATGCCCTGGCTCACAATTACCATTGAGGCCCTGGACTATTTCCTGGTGACCAATGGAAGACCCTATTTCCATAGATTCTCTCTTCTGCAATTGGGGAAATAGTGCCTACCTCAAGGATATGGCATCTGCCTAATAAAGATCTTTCAGCTCAACTTTCTGATTTATTTCATTTATTTTATTTTTTTGTCTGGGAATGTGAGAAGGTCCCTGAGGGTCTACAGATAGAGAGCTCTTGCGTCTTATACAAAAGGTCAAGGGAAATGAGAAAAGGAAGGGAGCCATACACAGACACTAATGGGTGACACTTCTACCTCCAAAGCATGGAAATTGTCAAGAATGTTTGATACAGAGAAGATACTGGCACTGCAGAGGCTCTATGGGAGACCTCGAATCTCTGACATAGCCTCAAGACTAATGCTCTGATCCACCTCCAACAATTACTGAGAAAACAGTGTGCTCAATTAGAGGCATAGTGACTGCTTAAGACACTGTTAAGTTTCCTTTCTTCCTACTTCCCTTGCCTGCACATTGCAGTTCATAATACTACACCCTATCGAATGTCCCTGCTCTAAGAAATAACCTCTCTCTCTTACTTGCCTTAAAACATCTCCAAAAATAATTCCCTCTTATTCTCTCGAACCCCATTTTAGAAAAATTTCAATGCTCACATATTACTTGTGCAGTTTCTTGACCTCAGCCTCAGTGAACTTTCCTATACTGTCTAAGGAAATCTTTCCAAACCTTACCCATCCACTTATTTTTCATATTTCTTCTTATTCATCACACACAGATACACAAACACACACACACATAAACACACACTCCATGTTCTATAAACATTTCTGCCTATTCTGTACTATCTTGCATGCCTACTATGCCTTGTATTAAATTCTTCCATAGGCAGTAAGTAAATATTTATTCAGTAAAATAATGAATGGATGAATAAATCAATAATTATTTCTTGTTTTAGAACTTCTGAAACTAGAGGACAATCTGAATAATAAGATCATTGTATAAATAGTTCCTTTGGTGTTAATGCTACTATGAATTAAACTATTCTGTTCCCAGATTATTTTTGTGTGTATCTGGTTTGTTTCTATGAGTTATACTCTTCTCAGAGCATTTTTATTAATTAATTCTGAGAAGATGCTAAGCCAAGGTAACCAAGAGTTTGTGCATCTGGGATAGAAAACTGTAGTAAGTAGCTAGACTGTGCTTGACCCATGAAAATATAGACTAGATTGCTAAAATGTCACACTTGAGGAATTTAAGGTTGAGCACTAGAACATGTAAGCAAATATCTACTTGAGTGAAATTTTTGGAACAAATGAGAAAATCTCATCCCTATATATGAGTGTCATGAATCTCTTGAAGGAAATTAATATCCATCCTCTTAACTATACTCAGAGTAGACCAATCCTGGTATCGACATAGGGAATCCCTTTTCTTCTGTTTAGCCTCAAAATATTTTTGTAATTGAAATTTCAGAGTGTTAGAGCTGAAAGGATGAGAGGTCTCTGGTAAATATTTGATGTCAGCAATGACAAAGGAAAGAGAAAGATCATTCACGGCATTGGGGTGCCTGAATCTGGAGAAGGTTCCAAATGAGGAGAAACGTGGAGAGTAAAAGAAGTATGGCCTTTCCTTGCTGACAAGAAATGGGAATTCAGGCAGCAGGCAGATTCAGAAAGTAGAGATGATAGAAAGTTGGGGGAGTGAGTAGCAGGACTCTTAGGAAATGCCGAGAGCCTACACTCAGCTCACTTATTGCCTTTGCTATTTTCATTGCATCTTTTAACAGCAAGGAGCAGAACTCTACACTTCAGAAGTTCTTCCTAGCCTGGGAAGTTAAGTTACTGCATGGGGGAAAGAAAAGGTGGGAGGAAGGAAGATATTGGAAAATCTATAGAGACAAAAGAATACATTTTAGTAAAAGGAGGTTTAAACAAACAAACGAAATATATACAGAAATGGGAATTTGAATAGAGGAAAGGATTCTAAAACACAGCATTTTTAGTGGCCTAGGAAAAAAATATAATCTTAGCCAAGGCTAGAATGCCTTTCCACATTCCCACCTCTACTTTTAAGTCACAGAATCTTCTCTGTTCCCCCAGATACTTTCCCAGATTAGTCTAGGCAGAAACAGTCAGATGTTCCTGCTTAATTTGAAACCATTTCTTACCTCAGTGTTACTAACAACTTCGAGTTATAATTGCCTTTTTACTTATTTATATTTATTACTACATTGAATGCTCTCTGTTTTTCCATCTCTGTATCCCCAAAACCTATTAGAATAACTATTGTACAGGACACACATGATTCATATTTATTGATTCTATTTTTTAAACATCATTTATTTTGGTAGATGACCAAATTATTATAGACAAAACAATAACAACAAATGAATGAATGAATGAATATTTATTTTCTTACTAGGAGGATTTAATCCAAACCAGGAGAAGGAAGATATACTTAGAACTGTCCTTGTAGTGCATTCCATCCTTGTCCATTCTGTCCTTGTAGTTATTTTGCATATTCTGGAGACACAGGAAGAGATATATACTCTTAAGTTGAACCACATCTAGCAAATAAATACCTTCCACTTTCTGTGCCTCAGTTCCTCATTCATGTAATAAGAAAACTGGGGAAGCAATCTCTAATAGGCCTGCTAGGCTGTGATTCCCAAAATTATATGAGTAAACTTGCCAAGGAGGATGTTTTTAGTAGCAATTTGTGCTGCTCGGATGGAACCAAGAGATACATAGAGGGAGAGCTGAGGGTCTGAAGTCAGACTCCTAAACCAGTTTCAGAACTGCCAGAGACAAGTACTGCTGCCATCATTCAGGCCTCACCCTGGAGATCCACACCCTGGGCTTGGCCAATCTGCTCATAGGAGCAGGGAGGGCAGGAGCCAGGGCTGGGCATAAAAGTCAGGGCGGGGGCAGCGACTGCTTATGCTTGCTTCTGACACAACTGTGTTCACTAGCAACAGCAGACACCATGACGCTCCTAACTCCTGAAGAGAATGCTCAGGTCACCAGCCTGTGGGCCAACGTGGACGTGGAGAAAGTTGGTGGCGAGGCCTTGGGCAGGTTGGTATCAGGGTTATAAGGCAGGCTTGAGAAGACAAATGGAAACTGGGCCTGTGGGGCCAGAGTAGTCTCCTGGGTTTCTGACGGGTATTAACTCTCTCTGTCTGCTGGGTTGCTTTCACCCCCTAAGGTTGCTGGTTGTCTACCCATGGACCCAGAGGTTCTTCGAGTCCTTTGGGGACCTGTCCTCTCCTTCTGCTATTATGGGGAACCCTAAAGTGAAGGCCCATGGCAAGAAGGTGCTCAGTGCCTTTAGTGAAGGTCTGAATCACCTGGACAACCTCAAGGGCACCTTTGCTCAACTGAGTGAGCTGCACTGTGACAAGTTGCACGTGGATCCTCAGAACTTCACGGTGAGTCTATGGGACCTTCAATGTTTCCCTTCTTCTTTCTCTCTATTGTCAAGTTCATTTTATGTGGAGGGGGCACGGGTACCAGGTCCAGTTTAGAATAAGAGGCATCTGGTGGCATCACTGTGGGCCCCTAAGGGTTATTTAGTTTCTTTTATTCTCTGCTCACAACCTTTGTTTTCTATTATTTATTTCTTGTTTTCCTCTTTTTTTCCTCTGTCATTTATTCTGTTTTTTTTTTTAATGATTTAATTTTGTATGTAAAAAAAGGGAAATAGCTAAAAGATAACTTAAGTGATCAAAAAAAAAAAAACCTGAAGAACTTATACAGTCTGCCTAATATTTTTGCTATTTGTTACATATGCGTATTGTTTGGATATTAATAATCTACCTACTTTATTTATTTTATTTTTATTTTATGTTTAGTTGACACATAATAATTGTGCATATTTATGGTGTAGAGTGTGATGTTTTGATTCATGTATATATACACGGTGTAATGACCAAATCAAAGTAATTTGGCATTTGTGATTTTTTTAAAAAACGCTTTCTTCTTTTAGTCCACTTTTTTGTTTGTCTTATTTCTTATAAGACGTGATATGAAACATATCATGCTGCTTTGCATCATTCTAAAGAATGACAGTGATAATTTAATTTCCGGGTTACAGTAATAGGGAGGGATATTTTTTGCATATAAATCATGGCTGATATGGGAGGTGTCATATTGGTAGAAGCAGCTAAGATCCAGCTGTTGTTCTGCTTTTGTTTTATGGTTACGGTGCTAAGCGTAGCTTGAGATGAGGCTGAAATATTCTGAGTCCAAGCTGGGTCTCTCTACTAATCATTTTCACACCTCTCTTCTCTTCCCCACAGCTCCTGGGCAACGTGCTGGTGATCGTGCTGGCTGAACACTTTCATGACGCATTCAGCCCGCAGGTGCAGGCTGCCTTTCAGAAGGTGGTGACTGGTGTGGCTAATGCTCTGGCTCACAAATACCACTGAGCTCTCTTTCCTGCTGCCCAGTTCCTATTAAAGGTCCTTTGTCCCCAGAGTCCAACTACAACACATAGGGAAATTATAAAGGGCCTTGACCATCCGGCTTCTGCCTAATAAAGAACAATTATTTTCACTGCAATGAAATGTGTTTCATGTGTTTATTTCTGAATCTCTCACTCAAAAGGGCACAGGAAAGAGCAAGGCATTTAAGAAATAAAGAAACGAGGGGTTAGTTTAGACCTCCGGACAATACATCTGTGAGGCTGTATGTAACTAATGTGTGGGCAACAGCCCCTGTTGCCGAAGCCTTACCACTCCTCAAAAAAGGATTCAAGTGGAGGCTTGATTAAGCGGTTAGAATTTTGCTATTTTTTTAATTATTTATTTTCTTTAGACTTCCTCATAAATGTCTTTTCTCTCTCCAATTGCTTGTCCTGAATTTCATAGCCTCTACTCCACTGAGTTGTGCTGCTGAAAGATGCCACGTTTTCCCTAACATCTTCCTTCCATGTTATACTGGCCACATCGCTCTTCCTCCCCTGACCAAGCTTAGCGTTAGCTTCCTCTATTGTCTTATCAAGATCTGCTTGAAGGAGGAAAAACAGGGTGGCGAGGTGGTTGGTTGTCCTAATAGTGATGAAGAATCTGCAGTGCTGGTCTCCCTGGGGCTTTCTCTCTTTCACAGTCTGCATTGGAAGGAGTGAGCTGTTCATAGTATAAAAATACAGGACCGAGGAGATTGTGAAAGGGGGCTTTTTGCAGCTTCACATTCACTACTGTCTTACAACTCGTTCATGGGCTCACATCAAATGGAAGTCCCATTCTACCTCAGAATGTTTAAAATTGGTATCCAGGAAGTGAGTAGAGGACTTCTCTCTCCCTTATCTTGCCTCTGATGGCTTTTCTGCCTTTTGTAAGTATTAGCATAGTGTTACTATCAGCAATACACCTTAACTTCATTTTTTCATTCAATATCTAGGTGGTAGATGCTAGATTCTGGAAATAAAATATGAATCTCAAGTGGTCCCTGTCTCCTCTCCCATCCAATTCTGAATCTAGTTGGCAAAATTCTGAAAGTAATACATATAATCAGTGATAAATAATGATAGAAGAGTGTGTAAAAGATTTTATGAGATTAGAGGGTGAAAATCTCAAAACGAAATGAAATTGGACCCTTGTCTTACACCATAAACAAAAGTCAACTCAAAATGTATTAAACTTAAACTGAGACTCGAAACCATAAAAATTTTAGAAGGAATCACAGAGCCAACTGAAGAGATCTTCTTTATTAAAATTAGTTTTGGCAACTTTTTTGATAACAAAAGCATAGGCAACAAAAGCAAAAATTAAATAAATGGAGTTAGATCAAGGTAAAGAGTTTCTGCACAACAAAGAAAACAATCAACAAAATGAAAGGCAACCTGTGAAATGGGAGAAAATATTTACAAACCATATATCTGATAAGAGGTTAATGTCTAGAATATTTTTAATCACATAATTCAATAGTAAAATAAATAAATAAATAATGGGCAAAGGATCTGAAGACATTTCTCATACAAATGGCCAACAGTATATGAGAAGGGGTTCAACATTGCTAATCATCAGGAAAATGCAAATAAAAAAACCGGGAAAAGTTATCACCTCACACTTGTTAGAATGGCTGTTATCACAAGACAAAATACAACAAGTATTGGCAAGGAAGTGCAGAAAAGAGAACCTTCGTATGTTTTTGGTGGAAATATATATTGGGAAAGTCATTGTGAAAAATAGTATGAAATTTCCTCCAAAAATTAAAAATAAGACTACTATATAATCTAGTAATCCCACTTTTGGGTATATACCCAAGGGAAATGATGTCATTATCCTGAAAAGATATCTTCACTCCAATGTTCATTGCAGCTTACTCTTGAGAACCAACAACCTTAATGCTCTTCCACAGATGAATGGAAAAGAAAATGTGGCATACATCTATATCCACATCTATACGTGTATATGTATGACATATTCTATGTATATAGTTATACATACACACAATATTCTATTGTGTATTTATATGCATATATGTATATATGTGCATATATGAAAGTATGTATATACATAATAGAATATCATTCAGCCTTAACAAAAGAAGGAAATTTTGCCATTTGTGACATGGATGAACCTGAAATATTATACTAAGTAAAATAAGCCTGACATAAAAAGACAAATACTACGTAATCTCACTCATACGTGGAATCTAAAATACATAAAGTCAAATTCATATTAAAGAGTAGAGTGGTGATTACCAGTGGCTGGGTGGAGGGGATTTTAGTTATAAAAGGGCAAATTTTCATTTATAAGATGAATAAGTTCTGGAGAATTAATACATAGCATAGTGACCATAATTAATAATAATGTATTGCATACTTAAAACTCTCTAGGAAAGTAGATCTCAAGTGTTCTTACCACAATTAAAAAATAAAGGCGTAGCTATCTAAGGTAATAGATATTTTAATTAACTTGACTGTGGTAACCATTTCACAATGTATACATATACCAAAACATGTTGTATACCTTAAATATATACAATTTTTATTTGTCAAGCATACCTCAATAAAGATGTAAGAATAA